ATCATGTGAGAATTCTACTATACTTTCTAGATCTTCTCTCCATATAAATATTTTATGGAATTAGACTAATTTGGAAAGCAATTGTATTGTATAAAGTTCAACAAAAAAGCCACAAACCTTAAGCATCCTGAATCCTTTGAATATGGAGAATGTTCTTGGAGAAATAAAACAATTGGGCTTTTCTATCACAACAGAAACACTAAGATAAATTTTATTTTCTAATGTAATGCTTGTGTGTGTGGGGGAGAATCTAATGTTTTCTATGTTTTGTGAGAAGTACACATTTTTTTTGTTTCAGATCAGTTCTCAAGTCATGCAGTCTGCTTCTGTATGTGAAAAAAAGGCCAAGACATTGGGTAAAAGAATTAATACAATTATCTTTGTTTGATCTTCTGCTACTGCTTCGTCACTGTCAATTACAGCTTGCTACAATGTGGGTACCCACCGTAACAAGCCATATAAAGTAAACCATAGTTTAGCAGAATGAGGGCCATTAGTAAGTTGAGGACTCCTTGTATCTCTGTTACTATACAGTAAAGAAATGTGGGGCAAAACGATAAATTGGTTTGTATATATGTATATATATATATNCTGATAGAATTTATGCTGTACAAGTGCAGAGATCCCAGATTTCTTCGTTTTTCCTCGGAGGTGGAGTGAGCAGAAAATATTTTTCTAGTTAGAATTCTATGATTTCAAAATAAGCATTTTTTAAATTTCATGCTGCGGACACTGCAAAACAAGCAACGGGATGAAATAAACCTAGATATGTCGAGAGACGAGACTCCTCCAACGCGTTGGATTATATGGGCCACGGATAAAGGGGTGGGGGTGTTGTATTTAGATGTCCCAAAATTGTCTTAAGTATTTCTTTTCCTTGACATTCAGCTCTTGCAGGTGACACAAACGCGTCCAACAAACCGAAGCCTGATAAGAAAAAGCTAGTAAATTCAGTTTACACCCACTTACTTAAACTGTTCTGGCTGTACGGTCCATAGCCAGCGGCTGAAAAAATAGTACGCATGCGCCCAAGCAGCCTTAGTTTAAAAAAAAAAACACCAACAAAAACTCCGCCTATCTAGAAAACTTGGCGAAAGACGGGCAAGTTGTAAGTGCGCATGTGCCGTGGCGGGCTCATTTGATTTCATTCAGGCGAAGGCGAGAGGAGTTGCGGAGTTTGGAGGAAGGGAAACTCTGTTCCGGCTGGGTAAGTGGAAAATGTCGCCTCGCTTTCCAGGTTTCATTTCCGTGTCTTTTTCTTCGGGCTCTCCTGGGCGCTTTGAAAACCTGAGGAAAAGCCACTTGCTTCTTAACAGTTCGACTCCCTTCGAATGTCGGTTTGTTGTGGTCATGGCGCCTCCACCCAGGGCGGCCCTCCCCTTTTGGAGAAACGGAGCTACGGTAAAGCTAACCGCGGGGAGCTAATTAGACACCCGAGCTTTCGGGGCGGAGTGGGGGGGCGGCTTGTAAATCTAAGGTTGTCGTTCCGCAGACTCACCCCCCCCCCACGTCGCTTGACAGGTGGTTCTCGACTTGCAACCGTTCATTTAGTGACCAAAGTTACAAGGGCACTGAAAAAAAAAACCGAATTGTGACTATTTTTTGTTGGGGCTTCCGCACGGTCATTGAACAAAATTCAGTTGCTTGGCCAGGGGTTCATATTTATGATGATTGTGGTGTCCTGCGATCCCCTT